CACGTGGCTTTGGAATATCTGGAGTTGTTAGCAAAGCCTTCACAATTCGCCTATACAATTATAATAAAGAAATTTTGTCAATATTGCGGTAAAGGAGCCACATGTTAACTATTTTCCTATTTAACCAAAATTTAAATATCGCCCAATATCATTTTTTGGATTGAATTTGAATCTACACCACGCATTTCCTTGATATAAATTTGCACAACGTTTGGTTGAAGGACCGCTATAATTTTTTTTATCGATTTAGTTGTGCCAATACAGTGTATCTTTGGATCTCTCAAGTCAGTAAAGGTAAAGATGTAAAACAAATATCAATATAGATAACAGATTCTTGTGGTAAAATCCCTATACATAGCTTTTCGGTTACGGAACTTCCTAACGAGTTACCCTGTAATTCTCCACTTTCAATATAGAAATAAAATTTTGCAAGGCAACCTTCATTGGTCGCAATGCACGAGAATTTATACCTCGAATAAGCTGCTTGATTGAATGATGTCCATAATACGGCTCCATGGCCATGTCCACTAAAAAACTTCCGTTCACTGGCTGGAGGTAACGATTGACGCTTATAAGCGTTGCCGATACTCTACAGTGAAACATTATTTATTTCAAGTTATGTAATAAAAACAAACCTAAATATTAATTAAACTTTGGATGCTATATTCTATTCGTGAATTATGAATCTGCAAAGATGCAATTTAGACAATATCCTGGATTTCCAGGACAAGTTTCGCACACGTATGTTGTATCCGTCCGAGTTTTTCTTTGGAACAGCTTTGACATCTTTTTCAGTCAAGTTGTTTTTACCTGGAGTCGCTTCGCTTTGTATTAGACTGTTCGATATTTGATGCTTTTTTTTTATTTAATCATCATATAGAGGTAAAAGTTCATTTATAATTGCCATTCTAAAATCAAATGATGACATTTTTTGTCCAGAATATATATTATGTAAGTGAAAAGGATTATTGAGCATTATGTCCATAATATGGAAAAAAAGTTTCTTAAGCCATCTTATTGTTTTTTTTTTCGTAGTATGAAAAGGTAGTATGAAAGCATTTGATCAAGGTGATCTACACCTGATATATATTTATTATATTTGGCAACATCCAATAGTTTAGTAAATTTTTGTTTTTTTTTATTTTCTACTTCGACCATTATCTTTATTTAACATATGTAAAACATCCCTTTTATCCATCCGATTTCTTATTATTACGCCTTTAGCATAATGCGCAATGGTTTCCCCTTTTTCAGCTTAATTGAAATAGTAGCTTTGGGTGTTATTTCTTCTGATTCTTAATTCGACTTCTGGCTAAAGAAAAACTGTTTATACAACAACTGTAATTGTTATCCATATAAATATGATGGCCAACATTTAATAATCCATCCATTAAATGTACAACTTTTTCAGAATGCACTTTAGTCTATCTCTTTCTTCTTCTTCTTTCTTTACTTTATCTCTTTCCTGTGCGTGTTGTTTTGGTTCTGAGAATGAGTAACCAGTTATGTCCTTCATGTCCGACCATCGTACTGGAGATATTCCTCTCGATCTTTTCCCGCTACGTTACCTTTAACTATTATTCGTTCCATGCTTTCTTGTCTTCTAGTTTTAATATGTCCAGAATATCTCAGTATCTCTTGGTTGATAGTTATGATAAGTTTAGTTTTTATGTTAAGTTCTACTAGAATTAAGTTATTTGTGCGATGGGCGGTCCATGGTATGCGCAACATTTTACGGTAGACCCACATTTTAAATGTAATTATACGCTTTGGATCATTTTTTCTTATTGTCCAAGTTTGTGACGCATAGGTGGTGATAGGAAATATCAATGCTAGAACATGGCGTAATTTTATGTTTTTTTAACGGAGTTAACAGTTTAATAACGGAGTGGAAGTATACCTCTGTTAAAAAGAGAACTTGTACCTGTATTTTAAAAGCAATTTTATTTTCAGATCTGTTACACCAAGCCGTAGTCCTAGTCCCAGACATAGTCAGCACAGTCAACAGAGTCAAGAGTCGCCCCGACCTCAAGCGTTGCCTATACCACACCCTCTTCCAAAACACGTACAACTTAATGATCCGAAACGATCAGATACGCTACATCCACATAACACATTGGGTAAGTGTACGAGAATTAATTTTACCCTTGTACCGTGACAATTTTTTTGCTTCTAAGGCATCTGCGTATAAGAAAGGGGAAATACCCTTACTCCCAGAATTAAATTTTTTCCATTGTTTACGTTCTATGTGATTAAAAAATAAGGATCAGCGCAATTTTATTTCGCCAATCCCCTTCCTCAGCCCTTACCACAAAAGACGTCAATTTTTTTTGGGTGAGAATCAATAAATTTAAAAATTTTTAAAAATTAGCACGCATAGTTGAGACTATTAGAAATCTTGTGTATTTTTATAGACCGTAAGTATAATAAAGCGTATAACTTTTTTTTCTAAGTAGGTGCAGGTCCATTTTTTTTGTTGTGTGTATTTGATTAAAAGCTATATCTCTGATTTCTTTAGAGTTTTCCGTATAGTGTTACATCTTAAAAAATAGGAAATACTATTTTTTAGAGGTTTTCCGGGGTTTCTCCATTTTATAGATTTCAAAATAGATCAAATCAAGGTTTTTTGTAGGTTATATATACTATGGCCTTTAGAACGTTCAAAAATTTGATTAAACATATTTTTTGACATCGACATTATCTGAATAAATTTTCTAATATTTGTACTTTTTATGTGAATAAGAAATCCAAAAACAATAAAGCTACTGGACCAGAAAACATAAAAATGGAACTGCTGAAATATGGAGGCGCAAGGATAGTATCCTTTATACGAATGTTGTTCAATAAAACCGAAGCAGAAGAGAAGATTCCCGATGAGTGGAATTTATCATACATGTCCTCCATTTTCAAAAAAGGTGACAAAAGGTCATCAAGTAACTACAGAGGGATCAGTGTAATACGTTCAATAGTAAGAATCTTTTCATCAGTTATAAAAGAAAAACTAGAACAACACATGAATCATTATAGCGAAGAACAAGCCGGATTCCGAAAAGCCAGATCATGTTTAGATAATATATTCATTATGAGACAGGTGATTGAAAAGAAAAAAGAAAAAAACATTGAAACACATATAACCTTTATCGACTTAGAGACAGCATACGATAGCGTGCCCAGAAAACAACTATGGGAAGCAATGAGAAGGATGCGCGTTATAGAGAAATGGGTGAATATAACAAAAGACTGTATAAAGAAACACAAGTGCAAATAAAGTTAGGTAATGAAATAACAAAAACAATCACCGCAACAAAAGGCCTCAAACATGGATGTGGTCTCTCACCTACACTTTTTAACATATATATATATAGATCAGGCTTTGAAAAGATGGTATAGAAAATGCGGAACATTGAGCATACCAGTACAAGAGAACATATTACATTTATTACTTCTCGCAGATAATCAAGTCATTTTTGCACAAGACAGGGAGGATATGGAATATATGATAAAGGAAGAATATGAACTTTGGGGACTCAAGATAAATATGTGCAAGACCGAATACTTATGTATTGCACCCGAGGTTTCAGGTTTGAACTTAAGTTTAGAAGAAGAGACTATTAAGAGTTGTAAGACTTTTAAGTATTTTGGGTCAATTATTAGCCGAGATATTACTTGTATGAAAGATATAGAAATGAAAATAGTACGGGGAAAACAAGACACAAGAGCGCTTCATGGAGTGATATGGAACAACACTCCAACCAAAGAAAACAACAAGAGGATCTTTCAAAGCATAGTGATGAATATTACCCTATATGGAGCAGAAGTATGGCCAATGACAACAACAATACGAAATAAAATAAGAACAGTTAAACTGGACTTTATGAGAAGATATCTACAAATCGCAAGATCGGATAGAATAAGAACGGAGGAAACATGGAACAGAATGGAAGAAGAATGCTTAATTACAAAAAAGTTGAAAAAAAACAGAGCTCTGCAGTGGTACGGGCATGTATAAAGAATGCCAGAGGATAGGTGGCCGAAAAGAATATTAAACTGGGACCCACCGGGAAGAAGACGGAGAGGAAGACCTGCTACAAGATGGAAAACATACGGAAATGCTATGATAGATAGAGACCTCAGAGAAGGTGACTAGGAGAATAGAGTGCTGTGGAGGACGACAACGGCGAACTCATAATTGGAAAAGCCGAAGAAGAATAAGACAGCGCAACTTTAGCGCGAAAAAAATTACGCAATTCATCAATGTTTTTTGGTGTAAACAGAAACTAGGATTATGTCTTGAGCAATGGTTTCATAAGTGTCATGCCAAATAGTTATATGTGTTTTGCTTTTTAACTCTGTCTTATTTTATTTTGTTTTGTTTTTGTTGTAAAAAAACTTTCCTGTTTAATAATTGTTTTTTATTTGTAAAAATACTAATAGATCTTATAGTGATACTGCCATTCAAATTTACTAACAATTATGTGCGTTTTCCGCATATAAGCAATAAATATATAAATGTTCAATATGCGCGGAGAGCGCTTATAAACATCTTCTTACATGATACAGAATTACGAATTATGATTATATTATGGTCAAGACAGTTGGTGTCTGTAAGACGCACTAGATATTCTTATTTGATTGCAATTAAATATTTTTTCTCACATATTGAACCAAATTTAGTACCTTACGCATCTAAATTAATGCATTTGATACTCGACGAAAAGTTCGACGGAAAAAGAGGAATTTTCAGGAAGAAATACTCATGGCTCCGAAACCTTCGTCAATGGACTGGCTTATCAGCAGATGAATTATTACATGCCGCGTAGTATCCAGAACGATATCGGCAAATCGTCATGGAAGCTACGCACGCCTAAAACTTGGACACGGTACTCAAAGAAAAAGAAGTATCTAAAGTATTAAAAAATCTTTGTTTCAATAATAAATTTTATTTTTTGGAGTATATTTTTCTCAATATAACTTATTTTCATGGCGTGTCTTTATTGCAGGTCCAAATCCTAACCGATTAGGTCTACAAAGTAGGCAGGCCAGTAGTAATAGCGGAGAAGGTAATAATAGAGAATCTTCATTAGACGATTCTGGAGTCGTCGATGATCATGAGCCAGAGGGTGATGCCACATCGGAGGAGGTAACTTCCCATTTAACACCTAGTAGTAGGGTGAGTGTCATAATACTTTAGTATTATACCAGTAATTCAACTTATACTATTTTATAGATTTAAAATAAGAGATTTAAAGTATTTAAAATAATTTAATTAGTGGAAAAAAGTCTTCCGTTGGTCTGTGTCGTTTAAACTGACAAGAACCACGTGTTCAAGTCGAGCAAAGAAACATGTTGCTCTTTAAGTAATAACATCTACAACCATTATCATTGACCTAGGGTCGGATTATAATTTAAATTTAAATATGTAAAACCATATATTTATGTCTCCACTGCAATTTAAGTGTTATCAACAAGTACCAAAAGAAGGCACTGATGATGATCTGAGCTAGATCGAATACGTTATGTATCTATAAATTTTGGACGAAACTTTTAACAAGTTTTAAATTAAATGTTTTTATATCAATATACAAATTTTGAAATTTTACTTGTGTATAAGTTTTTTAAATAGTGGACTTATTTGCAGAGTATCAGCATTGATTTTGTGCAAAAAAATCTACAGGTACCAATTTAGTTTGTAATCAGTCTTAACTTATAAAGCAAATTGAAGATTGAAAGATTTCCAGTCAACTCAACAGCCTTCCTGGTCTAACCGCGTCAATTATCATGGCACTGAGCTTTCAACATCATCTTTAATGTCTTCTTCATGGCTTGTGAGGTATCAGTCTCCCGAGCCCCCAAACACTACTACACTGATCACTAATCAATGTATTACTGCTACTGGGAACAAAGGACGGTTTATTTATACCGTCGATGGTGACGCGGTTTCAATGAAGGTTGGCGTGGGGGTTTATCACAGAGGTTAGCGTAGGATTTGGCGTGGGAATCTACGCAGGTGTTGGCGCAAATATTTCTGACAGTAAAATTTTGATTGTCTGGTGGAGCATACGATATTTTCTTTATAAAAAGTCTCCATGTCAAAGGTAACCGTATGCATTTATCTATTTTATTAAGACAATTTGCCCCTTTTTCAATTTCTATGCCTTCTTGGATAATTTTTGGTTTATAGAAGCAGATGAGAGCTATGGTTCTGAAGTTTTCAAAATTAATTTTATCACCTGTATGAAGACGGTGTTGACCTACACACATTAGGAATTGGAAATAGGAATATAATGTTTATAAATCCTATTTTGGATTCCACGATTTGTTTGGCCTATATCAGATCGTGGACAGTCTGCACAAGGAATTTCATAACCTCTGTGTTGTTCATTTGAAATGTTGTCTTTGATTGATCGGACAAGAGATGAAAGTTTTTGTTGAGGGATTAATATTATCTTTATTCCTCTTGATTTAAGAATTTTTTCGATTTTGTCAGTGGCACCTTTGATGTAAGGAAGAAAAGAGATTTGAGTTGAGATTGAGTGGAAGATTGATGTCTGTGGATGCTCCTATTGATGTGATTTACGCGGTAACCGGTTTTAATGAGTGCTTGTTTTAAACTAGAGAGCTCAGTGGGTCTACTTGCATCATCGCAAAGGCATATTGATCTGGAGACAAGCGTTTATTAAATGAATTAATTTGTGAAGGTGAATGATTAGAGTTGACATGCAAGTAACGATTGGTATGACTGGGTTTTCGATAAACAGAGTAATATACAACCTTAAGATTAGTTTCCTTTAAAATAACGTCGAGAAACGGTAAAAATAAATTAGTTTTTACCTGCATTATGAACTGAATAATAGGATGTATACCATTTAAATGGGTTTGAAAATGCACCAAAGCATTCATGCCACGATGCCTAATAACGAATGTATCGTCAACATATGGGGTAAAGATGTGTCATCATTATATAGTAAAGATGTGTTAGCCTTTATTTATCATGTCCACTGCTAGACATAGGCCTTCCTTAAAGTCCTCCATTCTTCACGATTTTGAGCTCTTTGGTGCCTCTTTTGCTACAAAGAGCCTATTGTATAGGTAAAATATATTATAATATATTATAAAAAACTCTGTTACCAGATATGTTCATTATTAACTTTGCAATAGTATGTGCAATATTTACCTATTTCAATTTTAGTTTACTTATTTCAGTCTGTAATTTCTATATTACTTTAGTCTACTCTCTATATTCATAGCGATTATAAACATTTTACGAAAATTCAAAACATTCCTTTAATATTAAACATAGATTATGATGCCTTTCTGATCTTAACACCGGGCTTTATAAATACCTCACATATTCCAGGTTTTATTTGATGAACTTTCCTGGATATTTCCTACACTATTTTGCTCACGAAGCTTTTCACGATGTAGGCAGTTATTTAAATTCCATGAAGGGTTTTTCGAGACTTGAATTTTCTTCGAAGCAACCGTTTTTCTATAGATAGTGCGTTAAAATTTCATACATCATTTCCGAGTGAAAATGTCGTGTCTAGATTTTTTAAAATGTTCAGGAAGTACATCAAACGGAGAAAGCTTTAGATTTTTATTTTTATCAAAATCACATATTCCGACAGGTAAAGTACAAATACAATTTAACGAATACAAATGATGTGCTTGTATTCCAAATGGTGAGCATTAAAAACTCTAAGTAGAAACCAATAATTAATGTTTAATTTATAAGTTTATAAATATTGCATTTAGTATTATTCATTATTTATTCATTATTTGCCGATTCGTGGATCGATTAATTTGATATTTAAAAGTAAATAAAAAAATTAGAACTAAAAATAAAGTTGCTTTTTTAATATTAAAATAATCCGGTGTTTTTGAATTTCAATAGCCTTTTTTAACCTCTGTGAAACTGGCTAATTGGCTATTCCAAAGCCATTATACAATAAAAAAAAACCTCTGTGAAAAGTATTGTGATGTGCTACTAAGCATTTGTGTTTCTTTAAATACAGCTGAATTTTTGCAGTGACCAAAAATGACAGTTTGCTTTTTATTTGTTCAAGTATTTACACTACGTTTCGTTGATTTTTTTTTATACTCACCACCGGGAATCTATGGGAAACACGATAAATTCCTGGAATGAAGAATAGTTTACATAGATCTTCAGATGTTCTTAAATGAAGAACGTACGAAGATAAACTTAATATTATATTTAGTTAGTATATAGGACATTTTGTAATATTTTTATTAATCGTTAAGAAAGCTTTACATTCTTCTATATGATGTATATGTTCTGTTTGATGTATATTTTCTTCTTCTGAAATATATATAACAGCGGTACAGGTCTTGTAGGCCCCTGGCTTCTAAAAACTTGGTTATTCCTCTTTATTTTCTTTTCTTGATCTCTCTCTCCAATTGCTCACGTATATTTCTGAGAAGTCTTGCTTTATTGCTTCCAACCATTTCTTCTTTGGACTTTTTTTTCCAGTTCTCTTTCCTTCACTATTGTTTTAACATTTCGATTCTTTGGCATTCGTATAATGTGACCAAGCCATCTAGCTTGGTCACTTCTTCCTTGTATTATGAGTTTCAAAATTTCATATTTTGGTCCCCTCATCACGTGGCGTAGATATTCCAGTTTTCTGGTTTGCATAGTGGTGATTAGTTCTATTTCTTTACCAACCCTCTCTAGTACTTATTTATTTGTAATTCTATCGGTCCATGATATTTTTAATACTCTGCGTTATAACCAGAGATCGAAAGCCTCGATTATTTTTAAATTTAATTTTTTTTCCAAGTCTCAGCTCCATATAATAATATTGAAAATATATAACAGCGAATGGTACGTAGTCTGATCTCCAAATTTAGATTTTTGCACGTTAAGAGTAGCTTCATTCGTATAAATGCTGATCTGAAAATCTCTATTCGCCTGTTTATTTCTGCAATATGATCATTGGTTTCATTGATCAAAGTTCTCAAGTACTGATATTTTTCTATTTGTTATATCACGTTAGCATTTATTGTCAATAGGTGATGTATATTTTATGGTCTTTTTGTAATTAGCATGTACTTAGTTTTTTTAGCGTTTATAGTAATTCTCATCTCAGCACTATTCGTACTCAAGCTTTCGATAAGGTGTTGTTGATCCTCTATACTCGTTGCTATGATCACAGTATCGTCTGAATATCTTAATTTGTTAATTAATTTTCCGTTAACGGTGACTCCAGCTTTGATATTATTAAGCGTGTTTTGGAAAAAATTTTCAAAATATACGTTAAACAAAAAAGGCGACAAAACACATCCCTGTCTAACTTCTCTACAGTTCTTCATTTTTTCTGAGTGTTGTCCATCAATTTGAACTATGGCACTTTGGTTCCAATATAATGTTTGCTCTATATTTATGATTTTACTATCAATGCGCTTGTTGATAAGTATTGATATTAGTTTTTAATGTCTTATTTTATCGAAATCTTTTTCGTAGTCAACGAAGCACAACTGTAGATCAACTTTTACATCCCGACATCGCTGTTGATGGCAAATAGTCCTTCTCAAGTACCCATTCCATTTTGGATCCCGAACTGCGTCTCACTAATATCCTCCTCTAGCCTTTTGTATATTCTGTTATGTATTACTTCCAGCAGTACTTTTAAAGTATGACTCATGAGGCTCAGTGTTTGATAATCAGAGCACACTTTTGCTGCTTGTTTTTTAGAAATGGTTACAAATGCCAATCTTGTGGTATTATTCCAGTATCGTACACCATGTTGAATAAATCTGCCAATACTTCCAAGTTATCCTCTTCTACTAGTTTTAATAGTTCTAATGGTATTTCATTTAATCCAGCTAGCTATGGTCTTTAGAGTTTTTGATAGCATATTTGATTTTATCTATCGTCTCTCTAAAGGATTTAATTTTTGTATTTTCTGCATTTCACCTCTTTTATCTTGAAAAAGTTCTCTAACGTACTCCTCCCATCGTCTTAATTTCTCTGGTAAATCTATTAGTAGTACTCCTTTTTTGTCTTTTATGTGTCCCTGCTGTCAATTTTGACCCATTCCAGTTACTTCTCTTATTTTTTTGTGCAAATTTCTCATAATATATTTTTTTTCTAGTTCTTCTATCACTTTTGATTGCTTCCTTACAATCAAATAGATGTTCTTAGCTATT